TAGTTTATAAATATAATTATAAAAACGTACTAGAAGATCGTATGTGTTCCTAGTTGAAATTGATAGAAATTTTAGTTTGTATTAAACTGGCACATTAGTAATTTTTCCAAATTGCTAATAATTCAATTAAAATTTTAACGTTGAAATGAAATATTTTATCATTATAAATTAAAAATTTGGAAAAAATGTATTATAAAATCGCAGGTGTTTTATGTTGAAATTTATATAAATTTTAGTTTGTATTAAACCGGTGCAATAGTATTTTTCAAATTGCTAATAATTTATTGAGAATTCGACGTTACATCAGATGACTACAAATTGTTTATTATAAAATTATTTAATTTTTTCATAATCGTTGACACGAACAGTTTATATGAATTATAATAAATATGATCTAAATTTATGTTTGCTCTAATCGTTTATCCGATACATAGAATATGTCGAATTACTAAAAAAAAGTATTTAAAAAATTACTTACTGTTTGCGTCTAACTGTACATTTGACACATACTGAAGCACATTTAGAAACATTTACACTAACATCACAAAACTGTCACAAAACCCTACAAATTTTTCAAACCAACTTCAATTTAAAAACAAGCAACAAGTGTTTGCCAAATATTTAACACCGAACAGTTCGCGTTGATAATTAAAAAAAATCACACAGTGAATATATTTTGAAATTTAATGAAAGCAATTTAGTATAGAATTGAATTTCAAAACGTATATAACTTTTTTTATTATTTTTAACCCCGTAGCGGTGTAGAAGCGTAGAGCAAGACAAGTGCTACGAGCCGTAGCGCGTCCGACGGAACACTGGAGGAGAAGGCGAAACACGCCTGTAGCGCGATACCAAGCCAATTGCCCGTAGCGAAGGCTAGTGGGGATACGCCGTAGTACGGAGTATATTTCCAAGATATACGTATATTATATATATATATATATATATATATATATATATATATAATGGGTAGTACATAGTACAGGTAACCCCCGTATAACACGGTAGTTACGTTCCAAAAAAACTAGCATGTTATGGAAATCAGTGTTATACGGAACAAAGAACTAGTACAAAAAGAGGGGTTACATTCCAAGAATTCAATAAAAACATGCTACATATTATGATTTTATAATAAATATTGTTATATTTATTATTTTTTTAAGAAGTAATATACAACATATAAATATATATTTTTTTGTCATAACTAACAAGTGCTATCCAACACGATCCTTTTTTTTGCAAGATATTTCCATCCTCTGAGCAGTTTTCTGTTCTACCTCCAGATCAGAGCATTATTTTTGCAAAAACAATATTTGCAAAGTTAAATAGGTATATAAAATGTTATGCTCATTTTATTCAAAGAATCTTTACTTAACTAATTGACTAATTCACAAATTTTTGGGATAAGTCTAGAATTTTGAATCGAATAATAAATATCAAATTAGTTATCTCTTTAGTTTAATGACATTTACTGAGCTTTAGTACGGCGATTTGACTAATTTTAGATTAAATCAAGATTGATTTTCATAGGTTTCACTATATTTTTTTATTTTATTATGGTTTTGCTTAATTTTGAAACATTCTGAGATCGTACCCGTGCTTTAAAAAACCGTGTTATAAGGGGGATAGACCCAATCCTTAAATCGTTTTAGTGCGAATCCGTGTTATAGAAGTACCTTGTTATGTGGGGGTTACCTACTGCCCTAAGGCAGACTTCGTGATTTGATTGTCAACTCAAACTCGATACAGGAAAATTATTCAACTATGAATTATTCAAAATTTCAACATCCAAGTGTAAATAATAATTTTAACTAGATTTTAGAAAATTTTATCTAGTCTATACTAATAGCAACAAATTATAATGTCCAAAAAGAAATTTAGAAGTTATTTGAAGAATAGTAAAAAATGTTCAAAATTCATATATTGCAAGCTATGAAAATACTAAAGTCCGCAATTCAACTACGAATTATTCAAAATGTCAAGATTCAAGTGTGAATAAGAATTTCAACCAGATTTTAGTAAATTTTATCTAGTTTTTACTAATGTAAATAAATTATAATATCCGAGAAGAAAGTTTGAAGTTATATAAAGAATAGTGAAAAATTGTTCAAAATCCATATATCGCAAATTATGAAAATACTAAAGTTTGCATTTCAACTACGAATTGTTCAAAATTTTAATAAGCGTCTCTAACAATTTTACTAGATCTTGGTAAATTGTATCTAGTTTGCACTAATGTAAATATATTATAATATCCAAATATAATATAAACAAATAATTTTGAAGTTATTTGAAGAAAAGTAAAAAAATGTTCAAAATCCATATAGCACAAATGATGAAAATACTAAAATCCGCATTTCAGCTACAAATCATTCAAAATTTCAACATTCAAGTGTAAATAACAGTTTCAACTAGATTTTAGTAAATTTTGTTCAGTTTTTACTAACCAAAGTGACCGGGACAAAATTTCTAAGGTATTTCTAAGGCATATATAAATATGAAAAATGTTCACAATTGCAAAAATGTTAGAATTTTTTTTTTTTTTTTTTAAATTTTTTATTTGAACAGCAATCAGAACTAATGGGTTCTATGAGCTGTTGTGAGTAAGATCTTACAAACTACGTTTGTTTTATTACAGATGGCAACCCAAACAGTTGTCACATCTCTGTATGATAAATTTTTATTACAATCTCTGTAATAGGGCAAGTATGGTGCAACAATGCCGGGCGAGGGCTATTTTCACTTGGAAACATATTGCTACATCTATATTTCCAAGTGAAAATCGTTGTCAATGTTGCCTGACAACAGGCTGCTCGAAGTGGGTATCGAACCCGGGACCTCTGAAACAAGTCCCGTCGCTGTTACAGAGATAAGGAGCAAAAAGTGCTGAAAATAGAAATCGAGTTTTCAATTCGTAATGACCGGTAGAAGTCGTGATTAGTTTTTCGCAAAGCCAGGTCCCGCTGTTTTGAAGATACCAAGCTAAATGTTAAAAAAATTACAGTTTCTTAGAGAACTAAGCATCCGATTCGATTGATTAAAAAACTTTCTGCTTGTTTTGACAAAATAATTGCTTTTGGTAAAAAATATATTTCATTTTTTTTGTAATTTTTTTTTGTATATAGAAAATAATGCAGATTTTAATTTTAATTCTGGCTAAAGTTAACACTTATATACTCTAAATAAATAACTTTAACTTTGTAATTCAGTTTATATAATTCTTATAAATAAATATTAGACAAATGTTTCGGTATTTATAATAATCTATTTGAAAACATTTAATATTCCTCGAACATTTCGTTACGGTACGGGAAGTTCCAGCAATTTGCCTTAAGGCACGATGTCATACACCATTAGTATCACGTGCAATTATTGGAATTGCATAGTAAACAATATTAGAGATTATGTCGATCTATATACGTTGCTGTACATAATTTACTTTATATAGCCGCTTAAGGTTAATGGAAAAAAATAAAGCAATTAATAAATATAATTAATCACTTACCATTTTATTTCTAAAAGTTTCCAATAAATTCACACACGAAACACAACCGAATTAAACTGCACTCGGAAACATATGGCGACCGGCGACTAACGCGACACGAGCGATACGAACGCATCGAGTGCTTCCCGACAACTGATTTTGCAATAATTTTGAATATCTATTGTCCTTATCTAGGGGTTGCCATATTTGACAACAATGCATGAGGTCTTAGGAGGTACTTGCATGTGAAGGTTAAATGAGTCCAAAACTGAACTAGTGGGGCATGGCATCGTGCCTTATGGCAAATTGCTGGAACTTCCCGTACTGTAAATAAAAATCTTGGTACGGAACCAAAAAAAAAATTACACAAAATGTGTACATATTATTAAAATCTCTATAAAATATCTGATAATTTGATGTACATATCCAATAAATATTTTTGACCGCCAAATGAAATTTTTTTAACTTATTTTTATTGAGAGTCCATAACCACTGGACCTGCCTTCCCAAAAATTTAATCAGTTATTCATCTTGTCAATACAAGTAGAATGTTTTTGAATTATTAAAATCGCCCGCGTATCTCCGAAACGGCTAAACCTGCCTTTGCCAAAAAATAATCAGCACGTCTCCTTATTAGGAATCGAATGTTTTTTGAATTATTCAAATTGATTGATCCGTGTTTCCAAAATCTTCGAAATTTGCAAAAAATTCAAGAGATTAAGATATGTTTGGTATTTGATGGCGTTAATAATGTTGTGAAAAAGTGGATGACAATTTAACTTGACTTTTTTTTTAATAATAGGATAGATAAATTTAAAACTTTTTAATTTATATGTTTGCGGGTATATTTGTATAATATAAATGTTCATATATATGTATATGTATTATATATATTTACGTCACTAGTGAATAAAAATTTCAAAGATCTATATATATCTGATATAAATCAATTTATTTTAATTGGAGACAATCGACATATTTATCAATGGTTGAAAATAAATCACAGTTATTATTTGCATCAATTGTAAAAATTGCAACATGAAAGATTTTCTAGAAGAAAATTTAAACCTGAATATTTTGAGATATTGAATATCTTTTGAGACATAAAAAATAATACTTTGATATGAAAATTTGTTAAATGTGTTAAAGTGCATCAAAATGAAAAAATCTCGGAATAGTGTACATTTGCTGTATTAATAAATATAATAAACGATAAATACTCACTCAAAATTTTTTCATCAACTTAAATTTTTCTCTAAGAGTCCTGATATCTGTAATAAATAGTAATATTAATATTTAATGTAGTAAATTTGTTTAATCAGATATATAAAATTACCTTGAAATGAAAGATGAAAAAGGTTTTCGTAGTTGATCCTGAAAGCAAAATCTAATTAGCTGGTCAGTTTATTATAATATTTGTAATGCAACACGGTTGTTTGCAAATAATATATATTATTTTCTATTTCAATTAAAAACCCTGTAATTTGATAATAAGAATCATAAATAAAACAAAGAGTTAAATGCTCATTGAATAATTTATTATCGAACTAATTGCACTACATCAGAAATGAACTAATCCATGTAATTTATTTCAGATTTAGTAAGCGGTGCAAGCTTTGGGAACCTTGAATTTCAAGATTCTGGAAGGAGTCTTGTCGCTCAAGTCGGGGTTGGCTCCCTTGAGGATCTTTTGTTTGTAAAGTTCAGCAAGGCTGCCAGAGGGGCAGTATACTTCGACTTCCATTTGAGTGGTTTCAGTGGCTTTGCAGTGTTTTTGGCAAGCGGCCAAGGGACGGATGCTGAAGCAGAGTTTACCGTCTTTTTCTACGAATTGTACTTGCTTCTTGATGGAGCAGGATTTGTGTTCCTTCTTTCCGGATTTTTTGTGGGAGGTTTTTTCTTCGGAAGATTCAGAAGAGGAGCTGCTGGAGCTGGAAGAGGAAGAGCTGCTGGAGCTGGAAGAGTCACTGCTGGAGCTGGAGGAGCTGGATTCTTGTTGGTGAGATTTGCGTCCGGCTTGACGTTCGCTGATTACGTTTCCGTAGACAGTTTCTCTGCGAACACAGATGGCATCAGAAACACGGCGTTGCAAGTCTTTGGCGGGTCCTTGGCAAGAATCGTCGGCGAGGGCGTAGCTGGCTACAAACATGCGAGCATCACGGACGACGCAGTTCTTGGGGGTGGTGAAGTCATCAGCACGTTCTCCGGAGAAGGTTCCGCAGATACCACGGATGTATTGACGCAAGGAGTCGCTAGCGATCAATTTGATTTGCTTTCCGTTGAAGATAACTTGAAGTTGTTGTCCGCGGATGTCAACCTTCAATTCTCCGCTGGGCAAAGCGTAGGCAGAGATCAAAGGAATGCGGCGGGAGTAGCGGGAAGAGAAGACTTGAGCGGCTTGTTTTTCAGCGATGTGTTGTTCTTTGCCGTTGATCATGATGCGGGGGGTGGAGGATCCAAGGATTGCAATTCAATGTTGTAACGGTTGCCCAAGACAATCATAACGTCTTTTTCTTCGCCGTTTTCACGAACGAGGACGGACATTTGACGGTCGTATTGTTGTTCTTCGCTGTATTCACGTTCTTCGGAATACTTTTGGGGAACAGTTTGCAACAAAGCGTGCCAGCATTTTCCGAATTGAGCGGGGAAGGTCATGTTGTCAAAGGTGTTGATGCTACGTTGTCCAATGGAGCAAACGGCTAAAAAGTAATTTGTATAACATTAGCTATATTACATATCTAATAATCAAACTTAAGGTGTATGCGATTTCTAACTTACGAGCATATTGGTCGCGCAAAGCTTTTTTGCCGAGACGTTCAGCAAGAGTCATGGTTGGGTGCATAGCAATAACAGGTCTGACCCAGCGGTTGACACGCAAGTTGGTGAGCTTGACGTTCATGCGAGGAGTAGTCAAAGTAGTGTTCATAGATTTCAAATCGGCGGCAAGACGAGCTTGGATTTCAATTCTGTCATCCTTGTTGTGTACGTCATAGACATTTTCGCTCATGTAAGGGTATACCAATTGACGAAGAGCACTGTACAATTTGTAGGTAGTGTTCTTGGCAGAGACGGGAACGTTGTGGTAGTCAGCGGTCAAAGTGTAAAGATCCATGATGTTAGCGCGAACAGTCATGTTTTGGCAGGCAGGAAGTTGGTAGTCTCCGTGTTGCATTTGTTCTTCGCATTTTTGAGCCAAAGCATGTCTGCGCAAGTATTCTTTGCGTTCTTCAGTTTGTTGCATTTTTCCCTAAAAAAATCGAATATTAGTCAAATGTAGCTTCATTTATAATTTCACACCATTTTATTACAAAAATACTACCTTAAGAACAATTTCAGCTCCAGATTTGCATTTTTCTCCGAAGTTGATTTGTACATCCAAGTTGGAAGTGGCATCAAATTGCAAAGCTTTGCGGTAGCTCAAGGCAGGTACGTTGGGGATCTTAGATTCGGCAGACAAGCATACTTGGTATTTTTGAGCTTGAGCAGGGGATTGGTTATAGAAGAAAATGAAGCGGGATTTCTTATCTACTGGGCTGGCACCGTAGGCAGCGGTGAAAACAAAGTCGGCTTTTTCTTGTCCTTCGAATTGGGCACTGAGGTCAACAACGTAGGCACGGCTGTTTTCAATGCCATTTCCAGCTTGTTGGAGCATTTTTTGTTGGCGACGTTGGCTGTTAGGGGCAACATCGGAAGGAGCAGAGAATTGTTCGGAGCTGTCTCCGCGAGAGCGAGGGTGTTTTCTTTCAGCAGTGTTTTCTCCTTCAATTTCGTAATCCAAAGAGGCGGTCAAAGTAACTTGTTTAGCAGTGCTGTGTTCGGCATCGTAATAAATGTTAACTTGTCCGTAGTGAACAACAGGAGTAGCCCAGGGGAAAGCAACAGTAGAAACAATATCGTGATGTTTGAATTGTTCGATCAACCAAGCGTAATCAATGAATTTAGATTCGCAGTGAGCATCAACGCGGAAAGCAATTCCGGTGGCCTTCTTTCCATAAACTTGTTCCATATGTTTGACGGGGCGGACATGGAGGACTTGAACGTGGTTGTTTTCGCTGATAGGTTTCAAAGCCAAAATGTCAACTTTGGCAACGTAGGGCCAGGTGCTAAGGTGGAAGATTTTAGCATCCTTGCTCTTTTCCAAAGGAGTCATTTGCAAGCGGGCTTCAGCGTTTTCAAGGTCGAAGTCAAGTTTGTAAGAAATAGGCAAGTAGATTTGCATGTGTTTGTTGTATCCAGCTACATAACGTTGGCTCTTGAAAGTGTTGACGAATCCAACATTAGCCTTGGTCAATTGAGAGAATACAGCCTTCAAGGTTCCGGTGGTGTTGACAGAGGCAGGTACTTCAACAATCTTGGAAGATCCAGCAGACAAATCAGGGGTAGTACGGGCGCGGATTTCACCAGTCATCTTGAGCAAAGTAGGTGTTTTCATGGAGTATACGAATGGCATACCAGTTTCCAATGGGAAAGCAATGGTAATGACATCGCGGTTGTACATTTTAGTGAAATCGAATTCTTGTCCACGACGAAGAGATTCAGCGGCAGATTTGACGAGTTTGGGAAGTTGTTTCAAGGTTTGGCTGTCAAGGGCGAAGAAACGCTTGGTGTTCATCAAGCTCATCCATACGCTTCCTTCCAAACGTTCAGCTTCTTCGGGTTTGATGTTCAAGGTCTTGGCAATCTTTTCAACAGTCCATTTTCCATGAGAAGATTCATCTTCGTGATATTTGTCTTCTCTGGATTCCTTGGAGCGGAATTGAGCAGAAGTGATTTCAACCAATTTGTCGAAGCTAGATACCATAGCTTTGAACTGTAAAGTAATATTCAGTATTAATTTAATTTCATAAAATATTTTATTATTTTCATGTTAAAATTATACGTACAGCACCAAATTCGCGGTCAAATCCACCAAAGTTTTGGTGCAAGTTGTAGAACATAGCGCTAGGAACCAAACTGTCCATGCTACCAATGCGAGAGAATTCTTGGTTGTAGGCCAATTTCAAGTGCTTCATGTAATAATCGCTGAAATGTTTGCTGGAGTACTGGAGACCCAAGACTTCAGGAGTCAACAATTGAGCGGCAGCTTGAGCATTGGTGGCGCTAAATTGATTATTAAATAACAAATATAGCAACGAATGAGTACTATAAATATACAAAAATAATAACTATGTATATTGCAATTAATGGTACTTACAATTCGATGTTTTCAGGGTTTTGAAGTTGAGCAGCAGATTGAATAGCGGTTTTGACAGCAGCTTTAACTTGGTTGTTGGTATCAACGTTGGTGAATTCAGCCATACGTTGGAGAAGAGCAGCATCGGGTTTAGTGCGCATCAATTGCAAAACAGCGGCACAACGAACTTCGTGGGCTTCGGCGACGTTTTGGTAGATCTTGTACAAGACAGCTTGGGCATCCTTGGGGTAGTTGATGGCAAGCTTGTTCATGGCAACGATCATGGACATGCGTTCAAAGTTGGTAATTTGTTGTTTTCCTTCCAAGTAGGGTTCGAAAACGCTGAGGATTTTAACATGTCCCAAGTTTCCAATAGCGCGGATGTAGACTTGAATTTTGTAGTTGTCACGGTCAGAAACAGCGCGTTCCAATTGGTGTTGCAAATAGGGAAGTACTTCCTTAGTGATCAATTCCATGCCCTTGGTGGCCAAACGTCCGAAGGTTTGTTTAGGATAGTAGTTGCGAGAGTATTGGTGGTTTACAACAGCTTTTTCCAACAATTCGGTCATGGTCATGAGAGCAGTGGTGTTCAAGAATTGTTCATGTTGTACTTCTTGGCTCTTGATCAAATGCTAAAAAAAATATTACATAAAAATTAAATATCAAAAACAATATTTAAATGAATACAGCAAAAATTTTACTTACGAAAAGTTCCTTCAAGTATTCATCAGTAGGAGTGCGGACAGTGCGGGGAAGAACAGCGAGAAGTTGGGCGGCTTCTTCTCCTCTTACTTTCTTAGATTGAATCCATTTGGCAATTTGTTTAAGAGCGGGACCAGTTCCGGCTTGAGCTACAGCATCGCGGCAAGCTTTCCAAGCAGCAAGACGAGATTCGTCTTTTTCATCAGAGCGAACGTACAATTTAGAGCAAACTTCGCTAATTTGTTTTTCGTTCATTCCAGAGATCAAGTCGCTCAAGATGGTGAATTTTTCAAGAGAGTTCAATTCAACAATTTTTCCGGGTTTGAGCATAGCTTGTCCGATTTCCATGGCCAACTTTTGGCATTTGGAGACAGTGTCTACAGAGTGTTGTACAGATTTACCTTCGAATCCAACAGACAAAGGCAAGAAGGGAGTTTCAGGAGCTTTATCCATGGTAGGTTTGGGTTGGTAGATTTCTTCGCTAGAGCCAGAGGAGCTGGAACTGTCAGAAGAGCTAGAGCTAGAGCTAGAGCTAGAGCTGGAGGAGCTGGAGCTAGAGCTAGCAGAAGCAGCTTGACGGCGACGGTTTTCGCGTTCTTCTTCTTGGCGGGGCATGATGATGCTACGGCGAGATCTGGATTTTTTGCCGTGGTTTTTGTATTGTTCTTCGCTTTGTTCTTGGCTAGATTCGTGTCTGCGAACATTTTGTTTGCTGTGTTTGTGGGTTTGTTCTTGGCTTTCGCTGGAGGAGCTAGAAGAGCTAGAGGAACTGGAAGAGCTGGAAGAGCTGGTGGATTCTCTATCTTCTTTAGCTTGGATTTCGTTGTGAGAAGAAGAAGGACGGTTGTAAGTGTATACCAAGTCTCCAACGTTGATGGGATTGGAAGGTCCTTGAGCCTTTTCGGAAGCTCCCTTCATGTTGATGAGGGTAGCGTTAACGGTACTGTAAACCATAGCTTCTTGGTTGTCATAGAGACCAGGTCTGACAGAAACTTTGTTGGTGGTGACAGTGGATTGGATGGTGTAGCGGTTCAAGTTTCCAGAAAGGATGACACGGCTGACAGAGGAGCGCTGAAATTTAAATATATTATTGAGTATTTAAATTTACATTTTGATTCATGTCTGAAATTAATAATTACAGTGAAGAATTCTCCAATTTTGTTGGAAGCAGATTTCCATTGAGAAAGTCCAGTAAGTCCGAAGTGGTATTCGGGTTGTTGGTCGCATCTGCTGTAGTTCTTAGTCTTGACGACATCGATGAATTGTCCTTCAGTGGAGAGTTCGGCCAAAGGAGCCAATTGGGGTTGGCTTTGGAGAACGTATTTGGGCAAAGGAGAGATGTCGTAGAGAACTTCGCATTCACCGGTAACGGATTTCTATTAATAAAATTCAAATATATAGTTTGTGACACGATCATGAAATTCGTTTGCTTGATTGTCGCATTTGCGATACTATACCTCCATGGTTCTGTAGAAAGCGTTGATTTGGTCATTTTCGGGCAATTGGTTGCGTTTGGATTTGATCAAGTTCTTTCCTTGAGTGTTGACTTGGAATTGACTCATGATGCTTTTGATGTAGTTGACCTCCTGGTTGTTGAGGGATTTGTCGACAATGAGAGAACGGATGAGTCCGTCTTTCAATTGCACTTCAAAAGGCTTTCCGCTAAGGGGAAGTTCTTGGTAGTGCAATTGTCTGTCGATGCTTTCCATTCCCCAATCAGCTGGAGTAGTCATGTTGACTTCAGCGTATTGGGCATTGGAAAGTTTTCCGACGAGGACTTCTTCGGTCTTGGGGCGGATGGCAAGTTTGGCTTTGGTGACAATTCCTACCCATTGGTCGGCGACCTGGTGGTAGGCAGTCAAAGTGCGACCGCGCATTTCATATTGATATTCAGTGTTGGGCTTCCAGGCTGGGGCTGTACAAAATAAATATATAGTAAATATTGAACCTAGAAATAATACTGTTTAATTCTAGTTCTGTTTGACTTACCATGATCGCCCAAAACGAGCCCGACTGAAATATAAAAATGTTTTGTTAATATGTATATTTATATTCTAGATCATTGTTCCCAAATAACTATATGTGGCTTACCGAAAAGGCAGACCAATACAGGAGACCACATGTTGCTTTGGAATCAATGGACACCAGTAAGTGACGATACACAGCATTTCACGACTATTTATACTACAAATTTTCCTTACGTGTGCGACAATTTTTCATTTACTTTGCTAGGTCAAAGGGGCACATCGATTTTTGCTACCGGCATAATCTCTATCGTACTTTAAGATCATTGCCCTGATGTGTTAAATCTTCATTTATCTCAGAAAATTGCATGTAAGCAATTTGAGATAAAATTGACACGGGTAGTGATAGTACATTACATTTAATGAATGGAATAAAATAGTATTATTAGTGTCATATAAAAATATATTTATTATGCTATTATGATATTGAATGATGATTATCAATCCCTGACAATGGACTTAATTAATAACTAAACAGATTTTATCAAAATTATAATAATTAGTTAAATAATATCTATTATAAAATAATATTTCATAATTTATCTATAAAAAGTATTAATAATTTTAAAAGAATGTAAATAATTTTTATAAGCTTCAAAAATGAATGAAAATATTTACGTAATTATCGCATTTTTCAAATAAAATATATAGTTATTTTTAAGCCATATTTTCTCGTAACCCTATTTCGCCTTTCTATTTAGTTCTTCATATGTTGAATCATATATTAATATGATTATTATTATAAACATTTTCATATTGACTTAAATATTCGGAATTATATACATAAGAGCTGTGAAACTTTTTAATTCGGCTACTTATTTTGAAATTTTAACCGTGTTATTTATGAATTATATAGCTAAAAGCAAAAAGACTCTAATATTGCAAGCAAATGTGTCTTTATCTTGCCACAAATTTATTTCATTATTTTTTATTATCTTCCCAAAGGAGAAGTTTATGTTTTTGCCAGAAAATTGAACTTGCTAATTTTATGTTTACTTGACTTCAACAAAAAGTGTAATTTCGGCTCATACGCAGACTCCATACTTTTCCCAATTTATTGCAAGTGGAATTTTCAGGCAAAAATCAATTTTTTTTTCAGAATGTTAATAAAAGAGTAAATAAATAATAAAAGAACTTGATAAATAATTAAAACAAAGTAATTGACCAGAAAAAAGTGAATCAATCAATCAATAAATAAATAGATATGATATATAAACTAATAAATGAATAAATACGTGGATAAATGCATATTTAAATAAATAAATAAATTATACATAAATTATAAAATAAGAAATAAATGTATATATAAAAATATTCAAATAAATTATTTTTTTGTTTCCAAATCAAAATGTATCATGAAAATATTATTTATATAATTTCTCTTATATTTTATAAGAATTAAAAACATAAATGTAAGTGAAATTCACTTCATGCATTGAAGAATTTTTTTTATTTTAACTGTCATACATATTCTATAGATATTTTATATTAATGAAAGTTGATAAAATATTGTATGTAGTTAATTGTGTGAAATTATGTTAACGCAAATGTTCTAAATCCAAATCGAAGTCAAATGTCAGAAAACGACATTTCTTATCGAGATCTATTAACAATTCTAATTGACATAAAAGTAACACACACATATATATAATATATATATACATATTTACATAATATATAATATAAAAAAAAAAATATTTCAATCAGTGATTATTACTATTATCTTCCACATTATTTGCAATAAACAATGCAAAAATATTGAAGCAATTACCAGCCCTTTATTATTAAGATTAATATTATATTAGATTACAAATTATTTAAGGTTACTATATATGTAGATAGAACTAATATAATAATACTCAGAAATAGTAATTATTCATTGTTTAAGGGTAATGTTACTCAAGTTGTACTTACAATACAGTATTACAAAATAGACATAATAGATATATATTGTTTAATATATGAATTAAATGAAACTATTTAACGAGAGTAATGAAAAAATTATTATGGGAAGTATTGATGATTTTCTGAAACAGAAATAATTCGAAAGTAAGTATTTTGTAAAGTTTCTGTTAATATTTTTAGCTCAATTCTAAGAATATGATCCTGAATATTTTCTTGGTCAGTGTTTATTTATATTACTTAGCTGGCGATTTAATCATAATTAAATGAAAGAATTTGTTGAACTTATTCCAGAAGTTTTAAATTCAAACTTCGAAAATCTTGAAGCTAAATCATAGCGGTTTTTAACAAATGAAATTTTACGTTCTTTTTTATAAATACGAAGAAATACTGGATACTTTAGGATATATATACAATATTCCAAAGTTTTTGCAAGAAATTGTAAAATACGAAGTGAGTGAGAGTGAATGTTATTTTAGAAGCAAATACGACAAAATCTATAGGTAGTACAACTAAGGCGCCTAGGCGACTTAATTATTTCGAAAGCACATTTTTGATAAAATAGTAAAATGTCTATTTTAACTTCTAAAAATATCTGCAATTGTTAATTTAATTGCACTATAGATTCTTTTAAAATTTAATTGCTCTAGCAAATGCAAATGTTAAATATTATATGATTATTTCCTTAGCGTTAAGCAACTTTATCCTATATGAAATAAATACATTATATTTGTGAATTATATGAATTTTTATCATATGGATAGACACAATTATATCTTAACAAGTAACGTTTTACCTTAAGGCAAGTTGCAAAAATTATATGTGTAATTCGCCTTAAATAATGAAAAATGCGATTTAGCTATTTAGATAAATTTTGCTGCTGTTGTTTTCGAATTTACTAAAAACTAATCAGTGCAATCTTCAATTGATGTTTTAAACTAATTTATAATATCTAAAAATTAATTAATTATTGTACACAAAAACGCGTCTGTATGTCTTAAAAGCGCGGTATATTACTCCAAACTTTAATGATTATTTATAATTTTTAATTAACTTTAATTATCATTTATAATTAGGAAAATAATTTTTCCAAAGACCGAAATATTTCAGAAAGTTACTTCAGACTATGATCTCTCTGTGGCCATGTTAAGTTGCATTAAAAATATTTTTTTTAACATTTGGTTACGAAAATACTACCCGGCTGAATTTGCCAATATCTAATTACTATTATTAAAGAATATCTTACGAACAGTGTTTTATATTTTAAAATCGGTTCAGAAATTTTGTCTTAAAGGTGGATGAACAATTTAAAACTTTTCTGCTAAGTATAAAGAAATAAAACTAAAAGTTCTGCATAAATGGTTAAAGGCGAGACTAACAATAAAAAATATATTAATCAGATATACAAATCAAATTTATTGTACTTTAAAGGGCATTGGTTTCTAAAACTGGTCTTCTTAATATTGGGTAATAGTAATAGCACATCATCAACTAGTAACGATAATCTGTAAAATATATGAAAAGAACATGAAATACTATGTTCGTACGCGATACGGCTTTAATGATAAATAACGCTCATTAGTCGAACAGAATTTACCGATAAGCATTTCTGTTATCAATATGATCAATTTAATTTCAACTAAGAGAAATTTCTATCACGTGCATAAAGATCATTACCCTGTTGATACATTATTTTATTCGCTTAATATCACAGAAAATTTATGTTTGCTTAACGAAAATTTGAGTATAAATAGTCGTGCAGTGCGATGTATCGTCACTTACTGGTGTCCGTTGATTCCAAAGCAACATGTGGTCTCCTGTATTGGTCTGCCTTTTCGGTAAGCCACATATAGTTATTTGGGAACAATGATCTAGAATATAAATATACATATTAACAAAACATTTTTATATTTCAGTCGGGCTCGTTTTGGGCGATCATGGTAAGTCGAACAGAACTAGGATTAAACAGTTTTATTTCTAGGTTCAATATTTAATATAAATTTATTTTGTACAGCCCCAGCCTGGAAGCCCAACACTGAATATCAATATGAAATGCGCGGTCGCACTTTGACTGCCTACCACCAGGTCGCCGACCAATGGGTAGGAATTGTCACCAAAGCCAAACTTGCCATCCGCCCCAAGACCGAAGAAGTCCTCGTCGGAAAACTTTCCAATGCCCAATACGCTGAAGTCAACATGACTACTCCAGCTGATTGGGGAATGGAAAGCATCGACAGACAATTGCACTACCAAGAACTTCCCCTTAGCGGAAAGCCTTTTGAAGTGCAATTGAAAGACGGACTCATCCGTTCTCTCATTGTCGACAAATCCCTCAACAACCAGGAGGTCAACTACATCAAAAGCATCATGAGTCAATTCCAAGTCAACACTCAAGGAAAGAACTTGATCAAATCCAAACGCAACCAATTGCCCGAAAATGACCAAATCAACGCTTTCTACAGAACCATGGAGGTATAGTATCGCAAATGCGACAATCAAGCAAACGAATTTCATGATCGTGTCACAAACTATATATTTGAATTTTATTAATAGAAATCCGTTACCGGTGAATGCGAAGTTCTCTACGACATCTCTCCTTTGCCCAAATACGTTCTCCAAAGCCAACCCCAATTGGCTCCTTTGGCCGAACTCTCCACTGAAGGACAATTCATCGATGTCGTCAAGACTAAGAACTACAGCAGATGCGACCAACAACCCGAATACCACTTCGGACTTACTGGACTTTCTCAATGGAAATCTGCTTCCAACAAAATTGGAGAATTCTTCACTGTAATAATTAATTTCGGACATGAAACAAAATATAAATTTAAATAATTAATAATATATTTTTATTTCAGCGCTCCTCCGTCAGCCGTGTCATCCTTTCTGGAAACTTGAACCGCTACACCATCCAATCCACTGTCACCACCAACAAAGTTTCTGTCAGACCTGGTCTCTATGACAACCAAGAAGCTATGGTTTACAGTACCGTTAACGCTACCCTCATCAACATGAAGGGAGCTTCCGAAAAGGCCCAAGGACCTTCCAACCCCATCAACGTTGGAGACTTGGTTTACACTTACAACCGTCCTTCTTCTTCTCACAACGAAATCCAAGCTAAAGAAGACAGAGAATCCACCAGCTCTTCCAGCTCTTCCAGTTCCTCTAGCTCTTCCAGCTCCTCCAGCGAAAGCCAAGAACAAACCCACAAACACAAACAAAATGTTCGCAGACACGAATCTAGCCAAGAACAAAGCGAAGAACAATACAAAAACCATGGCAAAAAATCCAGATCTCGCCGCAGCATTATTATGCCCCGCCAAGAAGAAGAACGTGAAAACCGTCGCCGCCAAGCTGCTTCTTCCAGCTCTTCCAGCTCCTCCAGCTCCAGCTCCAGCTCTAGCTCTTCTGACATCTCTAGCTCCTCTAGCTCTAGCGAAGAAACCTACCAACCAAAACCCACTATGGACAAAGCTCCTGAAACTCCTTTCTTGGCTATGTCTGTAGGATTCAGTGGAAAATCTATCCAACAATCTGAACACGTAGACCTCGTAGAACAAGCCAAAAAAATTGCCCAAGAAATTGGTCAAATCATGCAAAAACCTGGAAAAATTACTGAACAAAACGCCCTTGAAAAGTTTACTATCCTTTCTGAATTGATCTCCAGAATGGATTACAGACAAATTGAAGAAGTATTCAACAAGTTGTACGTTCATGCTGACGAAAAAGATGAATCTCGTCTTGCCGCCTGGAAAGTATACCGCGATGCTGTAGCTCAAGCCGGAACTGGCCCAGCCTTCAAGCAAATCGCCAAATGGATCCAATCCAAAAAAGTAAGAGGTGAAGAAGCTGCTGAAATCATTGCTACTCTTCCTCGCACTGTTCGCACCCCTACTGATGAATACTTGGAACAATTCTTCGTAAGTGATTTAGCACAAAAATAATAAACGCGTTTTATGCTTAATTTTATAACATAATTATATTACATAAATACTTACAGCAACTTGCCAAGAACCAAGAAGTACAAACCGAACAACAACTTAACTCCAGTGTTATTTTGGCTTTGACTGAATTGTTGGAACAATCCGTCGTCAACCGCCACTTGGCCCACACCTACTACCCCAGACACGCTTATGGCCGCATGACCCCCAAGGGAATGGAATTGGTAGAAAAACAAGTCATCCCTTTCTTGCAACACCAATTGGAACGCGCTGTTGAAAAACGCGATAGCCACAAAATCCAAGTTTACATTCGCGCTCTTGGAAATTTGGGACATTCTAAGATTTTGGCTGTTTTCGAACCTTACTTCGAAGGCAAACAACAAATCACTGAATTCGAACGTTTGGCTATGGTAATCGCCATGGACAAATTGGCCATCAACTACCCCAAAGACGCTCTCGCTGTTTTGTTCAAAATCTACCAAAACGTCGGTGAAGCCCATGAAGTCCGCTGTGCCGCTGTCATGCAATTGATGCGCACCAACCCTCCAGCTGCCGTTCTTCAACGCATGGCTGAATTTGCCAACGTAGACTCCTCCAAACAAGTCCGCGCTGTTGTCAAATCTGTCATTCTCTCTGCTGCCAAACTCGAAAACTACGAAAATCAAGAACTGTGAGTATTAACTAATAACTGACTCTTACCATCGTTTTCGGAACAGCAAATAAAGTATTATCTAATTCGCAGTGCTCAAAACGCTCATGCTGCCGCTGATCTTTTGTCCAAGGATGTTCTTGGCCTTCAATACTCCACCCAACAATTCATCGACAACTACGTATCTCAATTGAAATTGGCTTACAACTTGAACGCTGCTTACATCACTGGTGAAGATAGTGCTCTCCCTAAGGCTATCTTCTACAAGCTTGAAGCTGACTTCGCCGGATACAAACAAAGATACTCCGATGTATGTACTTGATTAATAAAATAATTATGCGCAACTAAAAATCTAGAATCAAAATATTACAAAAAATTCTCAACCATAAACAGGTCTACGCCATGGTCTCCAGTGTTGAAAGATTGGTTGAAGTAGTTTCTGCTCAATTCAAGAACCGCGAATCTGAACACGAAAGCGACCACTCTTCTGAAGACAAATGGTCTGTTGAAAAAATCGCCAAAATGTTGAACATGAAACCTGAAGAAGCTGAAAAATTGGAAGCTGTCATTTCCACTCGCATGTTGAACACCAAGAGATTCTTTGCTTTCGACAACCAAACCTTGAACGCTTTGCCCAAAGGTAATAAATATTATTTATAATTACAAACAAAATATCATTGATAGAACATGCTTATGTTATTTCAATTTTCAGCCATCCGCTCCGCCGCCGAATCTCTCCGTCAAGGAAAATCTTTCGACTTCACTAAATTGTACAACCGCGATGTTATCACCATTGCCTTCCCCTTGGAAACTGGTATGCCCTTCGTCTACTCTTTGAAGACTCCCACTTTGGTCAAAATGACTGGTGAATTGCGCGCTCGCACTACTCCTGATTTGGCTTCTGGATCTTCCAAGAACGTCGAAGTACCTTCTGCTGTAAACGCCACTGGATCTTTGAAAGCTGTCTACTCTCAAATGACTCAAGCTACTGTTGGATTTGTTAACACCTTCAGCCATCACCGCTATGTTGCCGGATACAACAAGCACATGCAAACTTACTTGCCTTTGTCTTACAAGATTGACTTCGACCTTGAAAATGCCGAAGCTCGCTTCCAAATCAGTCCCTTGGAAAAGAGCAAGGATGCTAAACTCATCCATCTTAGTGCCTGGCCCTATGTTGCTAAAGTCGACATTTTGTCTTTGAGACCCATCAGCGAAAACAGCCACGTTCAAGTTCTTCACGTACGCCCCGCTAAGCGCTTGCAACAAGTCTTCGGACAAAAAGCTACTGGATTTGCTTTCCGTGTAGAAGCCCACACCGAAGCTAAATTTGTAGATTATGCCTGGATCCTTGAACAAATCAAACGTCACGATATTGTTTCCGGACTTGCCTTCCCATGGGCTACTCCCCTTCTCCATCACGGTGAACTCAACTTGTACTACGATGCTGAACACACCACCGCTAAACAAGCCATCTTCACCGCTTCCTTCGATTACGAAATTGAAGGAGAAAACATCTCCGAAAGAAGACATCCTCGCTCTCGTGGTGACAGCTCTGAACAATTCTCTGCTCCTTCTTCCACCTCTCCCAACAGCCAACGTCGTCAACAAGAAATGCTCCAAAAAGTTGGAAACGGAATTGAAAACAGCCGTGCCTATGTTGTAGACCTCAGTGCCCAATTCGAAGGACAAGAAAAAGCCGACTTTGTTTTCACTGCTGCCTACGGTGCCAGCCCCGTCGACAAAAAATCTCGCTTCATCTTCTTCTACAATCAATCTCCAGCCAAAAACCAAAAATACCAAGTTTGCTTCACTGCTGAATCTAAATTCCCCAATGTACCTACCTTGAACTTCCGCGAAGCTTTGAAATTCGACGCTACCTCTCGTCTTGACATGACCCTCAACTTCGGCGAAAAATGCAAATCTGGTTCCGAAATTGTATTGAAGGTATGTTGAACAAAATACAATGAACATATACTTGAAAATATCATATAAATAAACTACAATACTTTATATAAATTTTAGGGAAAAATGGAACAAAGCGATGAACGCAAAGAATACGTCCGCCGCCTTCCCTTGGCTAGACAATGTGAAGAACAAATGCAACACGGTGACTACCAACTCCCTGCTTGCCAAAACATGACCGTTCAAGCCAACTTGATGGATCTCTACACCTTGTCCGCCGAATTCCAGAAAATCTCTCCTGAAGCTAGAAATGTTACCTATAAAATCTACAACACCATCCGTCAATGGACTAACCAATACCTCAGCGAAAACATGATCGATGTCCAAAACAAAGAAAACAAAATCGAATTGTCTGCTCGTTTGGCTCTTGACTTCTCCGCTGTAAACGCTACCTTGTTGGCTCCTCGCATGATGGCTCAATGGACTAACTTGCGTGTTAACCCTTGGGTAAGACCTGTAATGTCCATGCACCCAACCATGTCCGTAATTGAACGTTTGGGACAAAAAGTCATGAAAGGACAATATGCTCGTAAGTATTACATCTTTATACTTCATAATATTAAAATTGTATTTGCTAATAATAAAAAATTACTATTTTTGCAGCTACCTGCACTATTGGACAACACCTCATCAATACTTTTGACAACAAAACTTTCCCCGCTCAATTCGGAAAATGCTGGCACGCTCTCATGCAAACCGTTCCCCACAAACATTTCGATCAACAACAATACCAAAGAGACTTTTTGGGTCGTCAAATGGCTGTTCTCGTCCGCGAAAACGGATCTGAAAAGGAATTGAAAATCATCGTCGACCAAGAATCTAAGAAACAATACCTAATTGAAATGCAATCCTCCGGATCTTCCACTCCCCGTGTAATGATCAACGGTAAAGAACAACACGTTTCTGAAAAGCAAGCCGCTCAAGTTTTCTCTGGTGCTTTCTCTCGTCGCACTCCATTGATCTCTGTTTACGCTTTGCCTAATGGAGAAATGAAAGTCGACATCCGCGGACAAGAACTTCAAGTCATCTTCAATGGCAAACAAATCAAAATGATTGCCAGCGACTACTTGCGCAAATACATCCGTGGTGTCTGCGGAACCTTCACTGGAGAACAAGTCGATGAATTCACCACCCCCAAGAACTGCATCGTTCGTGACCCCCGCATCTTCATCGCTAGCTACGCCCTTGCCGACGAAAACTGCCAAGGACCTTCCAAGGACTTGCAACGTCGCGTTTCTGATGCCGTCTGCATTCGCAAAGCCACTGTTTTCGGAAACGTCATCAGTGAACGTCAAGCTGGACGCAAATCCCACCAACAAGAATCTAGCTCTTCCAATTCCAGCAGCAGCTCCTCCAGCTCCAGCAGCTCTTCTTCCTCCAGTTCCTCTTCTTCTGAATCCTCTGAAGAAAGAAACACCCACAAAAAATCCAACAAACGTGGACAATGCCAAACTAAACACCAAATCCAATTTGTAGAAAAGGACGGACGCACCTGCTTCACCATCCGTGCTCTTCCCGCTTGCGAAAAACACTGCAAGCCTACTGAAACCATCCAAAAGGAAGTCGAAGTTCACTGCCCACAAGGAAGCGTTGCTGAACACTACAAACAAAAGATCCTTAAAGGTGTCAACCCTGACATGAGCGGAAAATCTGTCTCCAGAGTTCTTAAATTCAAGGTCCCCAGATCTTGCGTCGCTTACTGAATCTACGAAATAAAATCATAATGAATAAATTAAGCAAATTGTAAAAACTGTAAAAAAAATAATTTAATAAAATTCTGCATATTTAAAATAGAAGTTGTTATGGTTTTATTTAGTACTTACCATTGCAGCTACAAAACCAAATCACTACCATATTAAAATAGCACAGAATCATTTAGTAAAGTTGGATTCATACGCATTAACTTTTCTATTCGCATATATGTCGTTCTCTACATAAAAACTGTATAACTGAATTTTATTCTCAAAAAAACATTTCTCAGAAGACTCAGAAACAATTCTCAGAAGAGTTAAGAATGTAAATATTGTCACTAAAGTGGTAAAACACAAAATTCATAAAAACTGCATAACCTTCCAGAAGATATATTTTTATGATCAAAATTATTGGTCATCACTTCATTGAACATAGTACCAAAATTTATCTTTTCAATTAAACGAAACAAACAGAAAATTATTATTTAATAAATTCAGTATAAATAATGCTGAAAAAATACTTTTTAAAAAATATTGAAAACTTATCTTAAACAAGTGATTGCATATAAAAATATAGATTAATTAATTTAAGATACAATTTATTTATAAATATACACATATTGGTAAAAATACAGAGATATATAATACAAATTAAAATTAAAGACATATGCTTAAAGTACAACAGCAATTTTCTTTTTATCCTTCTTTGAGATACTAATATTATTTACCATTTTTTTCAACCATTTCTGTTTTTTAGATTTTTCAGAGGGTTTTGTCAGTAAATCCTGTGAACTTGTCGAATTCAAATCACTTAAATTATCTAAAGAAGGAAGATTAGGTAATGAATCTTCGACCAGATGTTTTTCTTGTTTTTGATTTGAGTCAGTGGAAGTAGCTCCACATAGCTGAGGGTATGCTGATAAATTATTTGGTAGGGAGTGTGCTATAGTCATACCTTTATTTGGTGTTTGTTCAATTTCTCTTATCACAACACTAAAATGATAAAATGTTATTACCATTTAATAAATTTGGTGGCAAACAAAATCTGCATACTTGGATTGTGTCCTGTTTCTAGCGCACTGTCTGCCTTGTATAGATTCAGTTAGTTTATCCCAGAAGTTACCCAATCTATTAAATCTTTCAAAATCTAGCCTGTAGTAAATACTCAAATTATATGGAAGTTTTGGACATTGTTTAAATACGCAAGGTATTATCTTTCTCTTTCTTTGTTCTGTAAAATTAGAATAAAATTTACAGAATATTCTGTACTAAATATTTCATTCTTAAAAAGTGCTCACCAATAGCTATAGCTTGAGCAAAATTTGTAAAAAATGTATTTGCAGCACTTTCAAAAAATGCTGGTGATACAATCACCACTAATCTATTACATCGTTCTGCAATAAGATTCATCACAGCTTCATGTTCAAACTGACCGCCAACCAAATCATCTTTTGTACATAACTAAAACAATTTAAATATAATTCACTAACAAAGATATATAATTATCTTGACTTTTAATAACTACGATATTACTGTTAAACCCCTGGCACTCATTTGGGAAACAACTTCTCTGGCAAAATGTTCATCGTCTTCAGCATGCAGAACAAAAGCATCATAGGAGTTCATTTCAATGCATAATTGATCATTTTGTATATTGTGAGGTTCAAAGACATTTTCCTCAATCTCACATGGATTTGAATCAATTTGCAATAAATGCCGTCTAACATCTCCTTCTTTTGTTGTAAAAATAAAATACTTTAAGCATGCAAATTAATAAAACGTATAAAATCAATGCAAGATTAAATAAATAAGTACAAATAAGCTAATTATTACTATAAATAACTAGTTGGTATTGGTATTTTGCTTTGGGGCAAGATACATTAATTTCGCGATATGTGTAAATAATCGATCTAATCAATAAAAAATAAATTAATTTATGAGTGATGAAAAGTATTCTGAGTGGATTTATTACACAACATTCAAAACGAACGAACATGTTAACCCGGAGTATTTTATAAAAGCAAATTTTCAAAAATTAACAATTTTTATAATTGAACCAGTTTCCGTAGGATTTCAATGGTTTAGTATGTTCAATTAGACCAAATACTTAATTTTAACTTAACTTTAATTATAAAAGATGTCAAAAAACTACTCATTTTCTCAAACTTTGATGAATTTTTAAAATTAGACTACTTGTTGTAAGGCCATAATATTTCAGTAAATTCTATAAAACCATGATATATATCGCCAAAAAAAGTTCCATAAAAATCGGCTTGAATTTTTTTTTAACAGTTAATTACAAGAAAACGACTCAGTAGATTTTCACCTAAGACTAATCAGTATCATTCCCAACTAATATCTTTCGAACAGTTTTTGATTTTTTAAGTCAATTCGATAGTAAGAGCTTAAATGTGAATGTTTGTTGATATATTTTCGTATAATATCTAGCTGATATTTTAGCCCCAAATCCTTTACTAGGTAGGGGTGCATTTGAAAAAAAATACTTCAAGAAAAAAATAGGTAAGTTACATAAATATAATTACTTGGTATATATAAAAGTGCAATAATGTAAATGCTTTACTGGCGGCAAATACAACACTGAAACATATATAATAAATACAAAAATAGTACAAGCCTATAATTACAAATTCATAGCAATAACATAAATATCAATCTTATACAAAAATCAAACAGTTCATGCAAAACAATTGATAATTCTAAATCCTTATCAAACACTTACCGACAAACTCCTTAATATCATCAATAATGTCCCACCGATCCAGCCTCGCTAAAACATCATGCAATCGTTTTATAGTAATATTTCTTCCTTGATTTGCTAATATCGTGGCTGTAGGGTCAGGCCTACTAGAATAAGACGAAAGAAATTCTCCTGGTACGTCCAGACAATGGGCCAAGCCTCTCCAGTCCCTGGGAATACCTTCATCAGTTGTAAATATTTTTCTTGGATTTAGTAAATGTGATATTGTATTAATAGTCCTGGTTCCTAATATTCTTATTGGAAAATTTGAGGTATCAGATACATCAATGTTTTCATTTGCTGGTCCAATTGATAGAGCTCGATTGTGATTTAACATCATGGTGGAAAGAAATAAAGCACTTGGTAAAAGAATTATGTTTACAAAAATACACAGAGTATTTACATCACATTATTTAATAAATATTTATTGATAGATTCCAATGTCAACCATGAGACATGTGTGCAACAAGTGTCAAATAAAGTTTTGCATTTGGACTCTAAAAACGATAGCAAAATTTATGAAATCTTTAACAAATCTTTAGTAATTGATACCACATAAACTCATACTGCTATTTATTATAATTTAAATATTTATTATTATATCACTATTATAAATGTCACTGAAAATTACTAAATGTTTTTATGGAGATAATTTTAAGAAACAGTGTTGCCATCTGTCACTGTTACAAATATAAATTGACAGGTGTCAAACGACTCCACAAGACATGTGTGAACAATTGTCAAAAAAGTTACTAGAAATTTCTTAATTTGTTTGATTGTATATCATTTATTAATAAAACCATATATTTATAAAAAGTGTCCTAATTATTAAATTATATTTTAATTATGCTAAATGTATTTTATTGAAAGTATTTTAGTGATAATATAGAAAAATAATGTGGCCATCTACAACCTACTTCATATTGTAACACTTATCCTGGATTATCCAAGCTAGGAACCAATTGTTGAGAACTGTCATAGATAAATAAACATGACAACTGTCATGTGTGATTAAAACAACTCTATTAACTATTATTTTATTATATTTAGGAAATTATAAAACCCACAATTGATAGTAATATATTAATAATGATGGCTTAAATAAAATATTCCACCTTATGAAAAAAAAATTGTGTAAATGGCATTTTCCCTTAAGGTAAGTTGCTTGAACTTTCTGATATGGGTAAAAAATCGACTTAATATATTAATTTAACAAGGAAAATCTATTTTTTGACTATCATTTTCTCTATAACTTATTTAGCAACGTTACAACAGTACAAACATGAAAAAAAAATTCAATTTTAAAGTATCCTCTCCGGCACATATTCTTAAATAATTAAACTTTTTTGCAAATATGCAACAAAGTAAAAAACGATTTTGTTAAGTTTCTACACTAGAATATCTCCGTAAATACTATACATTATTGAATGAAAAGTAACAATCGATTAATACAATATATTCGGTGCATGTCTTATGGTTATGAATTTTATATTTTATATAAGTAATGATTTACAAGTTCTTCAATTAAAATAAAGCTATAAAAACACCCGTAAATCCTTTGTATTATAAATATATATTTTTATTTAATTAAAATAATTCTGCACATGTATGTACAATTCTATAAGCCTCATCAATAAATATATGTTGATTCATCACAATTACAATTACATTTTAAAATATAATTCATCTGTACAAACATGCTGGTAACATTTTGCAATGTTTTCGTACACAATGGCAAGTAATTCTTATACATAATCAGTTTTCATATATTTACAATTTCGTATATTGATAGTTATAGATATTTTAGTTAATTCAATCCTTTTCAGTTAAAAATCAAATGAACTAGTTTATTTTAGATCACATATTTTACAATATCACATTCATTTTTTTATGTTTTTCAAAACTACACTCATAAAATTATAAACATTCATAAAATTGCTAGAATAAAAATTGTTAAATATGTAGATATATCCTCGTTTCTAATTTTTACTAATTTTCACAATCTTGATAAAATAAAAAAAATAACAAATAAAATTTAAAATGTTAAGTCAGTTTACAATAAAAGTTAAAATGTTATGTTGCTATATTATATTATATATATTACATCGCATACCATAACTACATTTAAACACAAAGTATTATAATACTTAGTATTAATGAATACTAAAGTGTATTATGCATAATATATTTTTAATATAAAATTCTGTACTCTGGTCAACAAATTTTAAATGAAGGAAAATTAAACAGCCTTACCTTTGCATTTATTTTCCCATACATCATCAGTGCTATTGTCATCAGAACAATTGTAAATATTATTATCTTTGTCAGCAATTATAATTAGGCTTAAATGCCTTTATATATACATTTTGCATATGCGAAGACAAATATAAGTCATAATGGTGATGGCCTTCTCGAAATTAATCATTCCTAATATTCTTATTAATAAACTTACCATGATTTCAATATATTTTATAACAAATATAAAATTATTTCTAATCACATTACCTCTAATGACTACTTGGTACATCAAAGTAAAGTCAAATATCAGTCTTTTGTATACTTTTCACCAGTTTAAAGTTCATTCCAATAAAAGTCTTGCAGGAGCTATAACTCCACGAGGATATTCTGAACAAAGCATGACTCCAAGCCATTTCAACATATCACGAGTGTTGGAACCAGCAATCGTGCAACCAAAAAATGGATTGTCTTTCGACCTGAAAAAATAAAAAGATAAATAGTATGAAAACAAATAATACATCACATAGCATGAATTTAAAATGAAGTGATTCGGAATACACTCATATTAAATTTTTCAAAAGTCTTATCTTATTGATTCTTTATTATTTCCTATATTATTTCCATTTTATTGCGCCCTGTGTTTTATTAGATGTTCTGTAAACTAATTTTACCTTTTGGGTTTATTTATCCTAGGTACAAAAGTGACTGCCCATAAAGACTGTGGGTTTCTTTTTGTTTCAAATCCTAGATACCAAACAATTTCTTCTATTTTCCATTCGCAAACTCTATTCGCACCCTAAAACACACAATTATGCAATATTAAAAATGTGATAAACATATATCATTATTCAAACAAATATTTACTTACACTTTTATCTTTGTAATATGTCAATTTTGCTTGATTGTAATCGAATGTTTGAACTTTGAAACTTTTGCTCTTCGTGTCTGCGAACTTTAATTCACCAGACATGGTGCAAGGTGCGCAGGAAAACGGTGCTACTTCTCTAAAGAAGTTATCTTTTCTTACGACTAAAATATTATCTTTTCTATCCTCATCATTCCAATATCCCCACCTAAAATAATAAAAACACATCCATATTTCTGTTTAAAGACAAGAATAAGTTCTGGAAATATAAATGTAACTTACCTGAGCACTGTTTCCAAAATGCTTTCACTAAAATGCATAGGACGCTTTAGTTGTCCTTGCAGAACATTTTCTTCAACAATTAATTCGTGACCATTTATACCCATTTTACTGCTCATAGCGTAACAAATATCATTGGCAGTCATTTGAGGAGTTACCTAAAATTAAAAGAAATAAGTTTCATATTTTATGACAAAAAACTTAAAACTGTAACAGTTTACTTACCGATATTGGCACACAATCTTTAGTAGCATTCTCAAGCTGAATCCACATCCTGATATCTCCTGAAGGTTTAATCGGAGCAATACTATTAGCAGCACTATGATACCTTCAAATATAAAAACGAACGATGAATGATTGACATGGTTCAATAATGTAATGTTCTGTAGATTTGATCATGCACGCAAAATTTAATAATTTAATTATTAATAATTTGAAAAATCATTTACCTCATCAATACAGTCAACATAAGACTTTCTTTATTTAAATCATCATCTGTTAACTCATACAATTGTCTGTACATTGTTATTAAGTCGACAATCACGGTGTATTCAACAGTAGAATATTCAGATAGACCAACCTGTAAATTAATTTTTATAATAATAAATAATCAAAAGTACTAAAAAACAACAGTACTATTTTATCTAGTTTAGTTATTTATCTTCAAAGTTTCTAAAGATTTTATTTTTATTTTATCTTCCAAGAGATTCTTGTACTTCTATTTATTGTTTTAGTAAAGTTTAACGCAAATTTTCTATAATTTCTAGCTTTACTCGATTTTATTATTTTAAAATTTTGATTCTATATTATATACATTGATACCTGGCTTTTAAGTAAAGTGGGCCCCCAAATTGCCGCCAAATTATCCACAGTCATTAAATTTTTGCTCTGCTGACTCTGTATAAAGTGCAAATGTCCAACGAGTTTTTTCAAAGTGGCTGCATTAATCATGGGTAACAAAGCCAAATACTTTTTATAGTACGTCAGCTTTTCTTGTGAGTCTTTTTTAGCTACAAAAAAAAAATGAAATAATAATATTAAAAATGACAATTATAAGTAATATGATTAACTGATATTAAGTATAACTAACAATCAACTTGAGTTGGGTGAAACTCTTGCCCTTACAGTTTTTAACTGAATTTTATTTCTAAAACAAACACTTTGTTTGCTATTATTTTTTATTACCTGAAGCTTTCAGGAAATATGGCGACAATTTGATAGTCAACAAAGGTTCTGGTAGATCTCGGAAAAATCTTTTTAGGTTCCTGCGACATCGTGTTCAGTAAATTCTTGCGACATCGTGTTCAGTAATTCTTGAGAAGACAACTGGACCCGCCAGGCGTCCACTCGGAATG